TGGCAGGTCCGCTCCGACCTGAAGGACCCGGGTTCGAAGCCGCCCCCAGTCCCTCTGCGGGGGAGGCGATAGCGCCTCACCCCGTAACTCCTCCCCTAAACCCCAGCACTGACCCGTCAGCCCTTGACCTCACTACAGCGTTGAGTTTCAGTCATTTTTATTTCTAGCATCCACACACGTACCAGGTGAGCGATCTCCAGCCACGATTTACAAAGTACACTGTACGACCATGCACAAGCAGGGTGGTTTGATTTTTGGGTTTTTTTGTTTGTTTTTTTTTTTTTTAAAACAGATGATGTCTTCTAGCCTCCACAAGACCTCGACGCAGCAGACACGTCACTGCTAGATATGTAATTCTAAAAGTTACGAGCAAGGTCTTCTTGGTGACGCTGAAGCTATTTTTCTGCTCTACTCCTGCGTGGGGCGACTCCTCGGTGGGAAGGACGGAGCTGTTCCGCCAGCCATCCTCAGGCCTTAGTTCTTCTGGTAGTAGAACCACTTGTCAACTGCGTGGGACAGAGAAAAAGCAGAAAAAGAGCGGGTCAGTCCTCTTTTTGCCAAACAGTCATGAGCTCTCAATGCCGTCATTAGCTGGCGCTGGCCCTCGGGTCTCGTCCCTGCTACAGAAACGTCCGGATTTCAGGCGGAAGGTGCCCATCGCCCCCTCGGGCGGAAGGAAAAGAGGACAGCCGAGCAAGGATTCCTCCCACAGCCACTGTTTTCTTAGAGTCGCGTCCCGAGGCATCAAAAGGCTCGTTACCGGCTCGCAGCAGACACTTGTCCAGCGGCAACTAAAGCACCGGACACGCAACCAATTTCTGTCCCTGCTCGGCACGGGTAGGGAGTAATTCCCTTCCTCGGCTCAGCGGCGCCGAGGGTGCTGAGGAAACCCCCGTTTTGGGGGAGCTAACACCTCTCTCCAGCTGTCACTGCAGCACGGCTCTTTCAGGACCCGCTATAAATCCAATCTCTTCCGGAGCAAACTACGGCATCGCAGGTCTCCCACGTACCGCTCGCGTACGCAAACGAGGAAGTAAGGCAACAACAGGAGATGTTCAGGAATTAAACCGATGCGAGTCAGGTCCGACAAAGTCCTTCATTTCTCCTAGGGCTTGAGCCACACCTAGCTGTCAGTTAAAATCCCCATTTTCCTATTGCCAGTTCCTTTGGGGAATTATTGTGGTTGGGAGATGACTTACCTTCGGGTGGGATCGGGTTGGCAGCTTTACACGGCGGTGCCTGGAACGAGAGGTGTATTAGACAGCAACTGCAGGCAGAGGGGGGCCTTCCACCCGAAGCTCATCAGAGCCGTGCAAGTCTTTACCAAGCACGGTAAAGAACATCTCTGAAGAGCTGGCGGCCGAGCTACGGTTCAGAAGTCTAGCCCTTCACGTAAACCCTGCTTTGGATTCCGCCCCCCAGATGACCAAGGGTAAGGAGAAGCCTCTGGAGGAACATCTGGCTTGCTCCACATCCACCCTATTTAACCAGAAACAGGTGCCGTGTTCGGCCATCCGAAAAAATTCTGAGCGCGCAACGCGCTATTTGCACAGTGTACGATCCCACACAAACCGTATTGTTTTGCCCGACGCCGATGTCAGGGGTAGGACACTCGGGTTTGTACTTACTGCATCCACAGTAGCTTTCGCACACTCTTGACTACAGCAGAAAGGGCTGTCGGACACCGTCAGATTTGTGCTAGAAGAGAAAGGTTGCTTGTGAGAAGACAAAAGCCAAGTCTCTCCCCCAAGAGATATACTGGAATAATAGAATATTAGGAATCATTGTTATAGCTGCCAAGCCGAAGGGGAAGGCCTGCGGTGACAGCCAGCAGCTCACCGAAAGCACGGCAACGCTCAGGACAGGAAGGTTCGGGGTTATTTGTTCAGAGGGAAGGAACGCACGCAGTACCGCAAGCGTTAACCTACCAGTTGATCTCCCCTCCGTCAGTTTTCTTTGCTATTAAAGCTTTCCAGTGTTCATGAGTGCTTTTGATGACGTTCACCGCAAAATCCTGAAGTTGAAGATGAGAACAAACATCGTGTTACGTGTAAAGACCCTGGAAGGGACTCAGAGATGTCTTCCATTACCGTGCCTTTCAGGAACAACAGCAGCCTCCCAGCGCACAACGGCTCAACACCGGGGATTTTACAATACAGATTGTTTTGCTGTCAAGATGGGAGGATACGCCAAGGTCACCGAGCGAGCTTCTGAGGCCAAAAAAACCTGAACGCAGATATTCTAGTCTCGGGCCAGCGCTATATTATAAAAACACCTCCACCCCGCTGATCCTCCCACTCGGTTTGTCTGCAGCAGCTAGTTGATCCTGACCTATCTGCAAGCTCGCTTCCACTCCAGGCAAGTCATTCAACTGCTGCGCAGGTCAACAGGAAGAGACACGCACCCAATCTAGCTTTGCAACTATGTAAAAGTGAACCTGCTTCCAAGCCTACCACAGCTTTCTTCCCCTCAAAAAAAAGCAGTATATGCTCAAGCATTAACTCGTCAGCTGGAGAAGGAAGCACACACAATTCTTTGTTAGCACGAACGTGGCAATAAATATCCTGGTTTGGTACCACACAGAGCCAAATAAAACACCGCGGGAACACGCGTGAGGTTCTTTGTCCCTACTTTCCACCTTGGCCTCCGTTCTGGTCTCACTCATCCTGAGGGGCAGGGAGATGTCCCAGCCCACCCAACCAAGTGCCGTGCTACAGTCAAAGGGGACAATTTCAGTCCCCCCTTCCCCTTTCCTTCCCTTCCCACCACCAGGCTTTGCACCAACCCTCCTCTGCACCAACTCTGGGAGCTGAGTCACCTCCGTAACCCACTCACGGCACACCAGGACTGGCAGGAGGGATTTCTCCTGTTTGGCAGCAGCGAGTTGACTGGCCCAGCCCAGAGAAGAGGCAGAGGAGTAATGCTGCCAAGGCAGAGCCTTACTCAAAGGGCGTGAGGGAACACTTTATGCCTGAAGGAAGAAGTGTTTTAACTCCCAAGTTAACTTCAACTCGCACCAGGCTGCAGTGGAACAAAACCAGTGACCAAGGGAGGCAAAAGGTGATGTCGAGCACCCTCTGCTCCAGAGCAGGAGCAAATAAACCTGGTGTTTTCCGTACCGGCTCTGACACAGAAGCTCCCAGCCCTGAAGTGATCCCACATGAATGTCATCTAGAACAAAAACTGATGATCTCCAAGAGCAGCAGGGTGATAACCCTATGCTTTTTCTCCTGCCAGCACTGGGCCGGAAACAAGCAGGATGGTGGGCTGGAGAAACAGCGGGAAGAATGAAGTCGGCTATCAGCAGCCCCATGGAAATCTATTTGCTCAGCGACTACTCATCCGTGTCCCCACGCATCGTGAGCTCAGTTTTTGGACAGTGTGCCTTTGCACGCTCACAGTAACGAAGAAAGGGGATCCTACCTTGTCTTTAAATTCACCGTTAAAAGCAAACTGGTTTTCTGGCTTTCCATCAGGTACTTTGTATCTTCTGAACCAGTCCACTGTAGCTTCTAAGTATCCAGGCTTCATCCTTCTGACATCATTGATATCTAGCCACGGACAAAAGGTTTGTTAGCCAGCTCTAGTAACAGAAGTTACTTAGCTACTACCCCTCTCTCAGCCCCTCCCCAAGCAGCCTTAGCAACATTTCAGACAGGTTACAGTAAAGTCACCGAGTGGATAGCTGCAGAGGGAGGTTAGCGTGTCATCTTCACGGCATATCCCGATTGCCCCCAGGAGTGTGGATGGATTTAAACAGCTTTGATTACAGACTTACTGGTCAAACCCTTTCCTTCCACTCAGAGGACGGGCTCTACAGCCACCCCTCTTCTTCGAGATGCCAGGCTGTGCAGAGGACTGAATTTCAGATAAACAGCAGGAAAATGTTTTGCTATAGGTTTGGTATCCTACTCTGCTGTCCTTCCAGCGTCACACCTGATGAATACCATTGCACAGAAGGAACAAGCCCAAGTCCTGACCTGAAACTTTCCCGCAGGCTCTCAACAGAGAAAGGCAAGTTCTAAGCCTGCTCCTCCCTCCTGTTACTTACCATTATAGTTGTCTGCTTCAGGGTCTTCTACATTGATAGCAATTATCTTCCAGTCTGTCTCTCCCTCGTCAATCAGTGCCAGCGTGCCCAGCACCTTCACTTTGATGACTTCTCCTCGAGAGCAGACCTGCAAGGACAATGACCATGTTGTCTGTACCGCTGCATCCAAGGAACGCTCAGCAGGAGGCTGCACAAGCTGTGAGAGTTCAGCACGCAGTCGGGTGCTGTGAAACTAGCTGTCGCTTATCAGCGGTTCACGAGCCCTGGCTCACAAGGCTCACGCCGAAAGATCAACAGTCTCCAGAGGCAGTGGAGGGAAACATCACATTCTTAAGGTAGAGGAGGTAGGAACCGAATAATGTCTCTGGATAAATTACTTTAGAGGCATTAATTACACGTTTCCTGTAAGACAGTTACCCTTTAGAACGCATTACCTTGCTTCCAATTTCGCACACGTCAATGGGATCATTATCTCCACAGCAGCCAGTATTTTCATCTTTGTGACCTGGGTCTTCCCAAGTCTGCAGAACAACCCACACACAGGAATAAGAACTCTCAGGTTTCAGGCAGAAAACAAAAAGCAGGTTTATTTCAGGCGTGCAGTTGCCTGGAAGATACAGATGATGGCCCACTTCACACTTGCTTTCAGGTCTAGCGTGGTTCTGCTACTATTTCACAGTGTCTTATCTTGCCAAGGGTAAGCTGCACCCTCCCACTGAAAAACCTTTTTACAACAACATTCCAGACTTCCTCCTCCCTTCCACAGCTGCATAAAGGTGAAGTTCACATCTACAAAGAACACTCATTGATTTGGCTGCCTGCCTGTTCCTCTCCCTATTCATTTCTTAAACAGAAGTTTCCTGAACTCCAGATAGCAGTCCCACAGAGATGGAAGGCAGACAGGGTGTATTGTTTCCTTTTAATTAAACAATTAAAGACACACTGTTACACTAGAGCAGTGACAAGAACGCAGAGTCCCATACCCTAGGCTACCGGGCATCCTAGAGCATCTCACCTAAAGCGGCTGGTATAAGTTGACAAGACTCCAGAAGGCATTTGAGCTATGCCTCCAAAAATAACAAGCTGCTTAAAACACACACTTCTGATGCAGGAGCGAAAGGACGCTGCGCCCACTCGCATCGTAAGGAGTATCTACCTCTAAGGTTGTTGAGATATAAAAAGAAGGAATGCTTTTCCCAAATCTCTGCATGCCAGGACATGACTAGTATAGTCAAGACCTCACGACGCATCCAGGAAGATGTACCGAAACCTGGGCGGTGCTGAAGGACTCTTCGCAATCGCTATTGCACTTCTCTACAAGGAAGTGTTAAGTTTGGTTTCTTACTCTTGACACATAAATATCTTTGATCCACTAACACATGACTGAGCGAAGGCTTCAAAAGCCGTAATTCTGTACAAAGAAACCGTCTCCAGAATCTGAGTAGAAAACAATTCAACTTCAGAACACCATCTCAAGCCACTTGGAGAAAACACTCAACATGCACTGCTATCAAGACTAAAATGTCAAAATTCAGTGTGTTTCCCTGTGAACTGTCACTGATGATTTATTTCTCTAAAGGCAACTCAAACCTTAGAGAACATCAGAGGCAAACAGCCTTGCTCAAAGTTCCTCTTTATCTAGCAGTCACCACAGGGGTCCAGGTGTCACCATCTGCCCACCCCCCCTCGCCAGATGTTTCAGAGAAAGCGTGTCTGTGCAGCTGCGGACATCTGCCTCACGCAGCCTCTGGACTCACGAGTAGTGCCCTTCTCAGATCCAACACTGAGAAAGGGGCATCTACTACCATCCAACAGGTCAACACGTTAGTCTAGCTGCATGGTTTAGACCCTGAACAATAAGAGGGGCAGACACGGGAAAGATACAGTCTTCAGATCTATTCAGATTTCCATTGTCCACATCCAAAGTCTACAACAATCAGCTAATCAGCACCAAGAATATTCTGTAAAGCACTAGCAGCAGCTGCTCGTCCTCAGACAACTTGTTTACAGCATTAGCTACAAGCCTACCTCTGGAGATACCTACTTAAAAGCACCCCTGTTTTCTTGACAGGTTCTCTTCGTTAGCAAGATTACACACGCAGCTGCAAATGCTGTGCTCCAGATCAGACTCTCAGCTGACCTTTTGCTCATTAATACCAGTGCTAGTCAGAGACAGACAAAGGCATCCTCCCTCCGCCCCGCCAGAAAGGATGAGCCACCGAGACAAGTTACAGTACCTGTGGGATAGCACCGTAATTCCAGATATAACCCTTATGGGGAAACACGTTAGCTACGTAGCGCAATTTTCCTTTCTTCACATCTTGCTTAATTGGGTTTAAGGGATCCTTCGTTGCAATCTGAAAGAAAAGTTACATAAATCTCTCTCCTTTGCTCTCTAAGAAAAACCAAGCGATTTTTTTTTTTTTTTAATGAAGCCAGCTGCTAACTGACAAGCCAAGAGACCAGGAGCTGACCCTGAAGCCAACAGCAGATATTGGACAACCCCATTTCCTGTTGCATCACCATCTCCTGGGATGTAGCCTGCTGAAAACTGACCTACAAATGTCAGAATCACATGGGGCTGAGAGTCATAAGATGCTGCTTCAACCAGAAGCCACAGAAGACTACTAAGTTATCTCAACTTCTGCAAGTCTCAGCCTCCACACTAGACCTCTAGCATTAAGCAAGTATTTACAGGAGAAGTTAGAAACCACTCTGGTTCCAGAGGTGGAATTGAGGAGGAATCAGCAAAGGCAAAGATTAATAGACTAGTCAGCTCAAGCACTTAAGCTAGGAACTGCAATATAGTTACCTCCATCTTAGCATTTGTCCATCGAGGTACTTCCACAACCATGTTGAACACATTCTGAAGAAAACAAAATATCGGTGAACGGGAAGGAATCTCAATACCACGCTTTAAACTAGGGAACACAGATAAGCAAGCATGAAAGCCAGCCAGTTCATGTGAAAACCATAACTTTTTTTTTTTCCCCAGTGCCAGTTTTGATACAGCTGATAGAAGTCCAGTCAGTCACATATCATCACTCAAAGTTGAATCCCACGGAAGACACCGACAAAAGCTAGATTGAGGTTACCCACACATTCTCCATCAGTTGCCACCTGTGAACATCTCCACCATGTTCCTAGATTACAGAACAGTACATTTAAATGAACTGAAGGCAGCTGCATACAAACTATCCTGGACATAAGAAAATGAGGTTTCAAGCTTATTTATTAAATACAAAGCATTTAATGCTACAGCAAGAGCCACCCTGGCAATTTAGAAGAGACAAAGCTTACAGGAGTAAGCCATCTATTTAATAACGTGGGGGTACCTACGTACTATCCTGAACGACCAAGAACATCACACCCAAATATTCTAGTCTGTCTTGAAGTAGGAAAAGATGCTCGAGCTCTCCCTCTCCAAGCTCACACATCCTATAAAAGCAGACCTTGTTAGCAGCATAGTGCAAGGATAAGGATGTGGGGGAGAAACGCAGAATCACATCTTGCAGTATCTAGTTTACAGGTGATGCTTGAAAACATCTCCTGTTGACTCCAGCTGGGCTGAGAGGACTCTTGAAAGTTCAATGTCAGTCTGCTCTTCAAGAAAACAAGCTTTTCCACACTTGAACCTTAACATTTGCTGTTTGAAGAGATTACAGCTTTTAACAAAAGGTCAAACCTTGCTCCCTAGCATCGACAAGGTTTCTAATACCCACATTAAGCAGCATTAGCATTGCAAAATCCCTCGCACCTGTATGGCGCCATAATTAGATCGCTATTGTGCAACGAGCACTGATACGACATTGACTTTGCTCGCACTCCTCCCTCACAGAAGTTTATGACAGCCCCTTAATTGCAGGGGGTCACTGCCCATTTGCAATTTCTATGTAAAAAGGTATATACTATTTTTATTTATAAGTAACTCAAAGAAAGGAATGAGGCAATCGGAACTGGCTAGGCAGGGCGCTTACGGCTTTGCAGGCAAGGAAAGATGACTCGGGGGTGCATCTTTGTTAGGCTCGCAGTCTCCCCACAGCCCAGCTGACAGATCTGGTCTAAGACACCCAGTGAGTAGCCCAAGGTCATTTCTTCGCCGTGCCAAGACACACAGGTACAGATAAGGTCAGCATATCCCAGCCCTAGATTGAAAAAAACTACCCTGCAATCCTCTCAGTGTCTTAGAAGTCGAAGGATAAAGATCAAGGAGCCCAGACAGAGTAAGTCAACCTTTTGCTCCAAGCTGGGCTCACTACCATAGCTGGTAACGAACCTGCTAAGTAACAAGTAAAATCTCTGCGGAGAGTCACTCCGGCAACAGAAAGAGGGCTAATGTGATCAGCACTATTGCATAACTTCAGGGACCGCAACCTTCAGCGATATGACTTGGCACGGAGATGCTGGCAAGCAGCACTAAGTGCCTGAAGGCACACCAGTAGTCCAGTTTCCCTTGTTAATCATTACCAGCCCGTGGAAACCCTCCTCACCGCTATACTCACTCCCCTGCTCTTTCCCCCCCTGTTCTGCAAGCATCTGTAAAGCGTAGTATTATCTGGATTTTCCTTGTCCGAGTTACCTTTCAGACACCTGCTTTTGAAAACTGCTTTCCCAGTCGGCCACAGAAACCGCTTTGCCACTGCCCTTCATGACTAAAATCCTTCTTTTCCCTTCTGAGCAGGCAAAAGCCACCTCAGACTTCCCAGAGTGTATTCTGACAACACCCACACCCCAAAAGCTAAATCAGCTACTTTTTAGAGGTTCATATCTCACTTCTGCATACTCTTTGCCTTTTCCATAACCGCTCTCTTACCTCCAAATTACACCTATCAGCAACATTAGAACAGTTCATCCACTACATTTCTCAAGTTGCATAGGTTTTTAGTACGTGTTAAAAGAAAAAAAAAACAAGCTACAAAGGTAAGGAGCACAGTCAGGGAGCCCGAGTTACCACTGAAAAAGCATTCAGTGAAAACTGAAGCACAGCTGTTTGGGTTTCCTGGACCTGGCGCATTTTAGACAGTGATTCAGAACAGCCTGATTTGACTAACCGCTGGCTGCCGGAAGGATGCAAAAGCACTGCATATGGCAGGTTCCCCACCTGCACTTTTTGCAAGGCAAGAGGTCCCCAGGAGCTACTACAGCAAGAATTTAACATCCTCGCCTTCTGTTCAGCAGCTGATTATGCTGCAGGCACAAAGCGGCCTTACTGCAGTCAAAACCAAAGCCTGAAATATCATGCAGCTTGAGCATATACCTCCAAAGGAGTGGATGTAGATATTTAGCTAAACATAAACCTGCTTCTTTTAACCCAAAACGCTTTCATGTGACCTCACAGGGAAACTGAAGACAACTACTTGTATCTCAGGCACGAATATGAGAATGAGATCATCCGTCCTCTTCTCCTGCACCGCTCTACCCGAGGCTAAGACCGCAAAGAAAGCCCACCCATTCTTTGCGAGATCTGGCAATGCTTCCATTAGGAGGCTCCTGCCGAGAAGCAGCGCCAGGAACTGGGAACCTCTCTCGGGTATTTCATGCTCGCAGGACCACGTTCTCTGAGGAGCACCGACACAGCGCTCACACCCAAAGCCCAGAGCTCCGGC